GGTCAGTAATACTGGGAATCTTCAGTGTGTGTGTGTGTGTGTGTGTGTGTATGGGTTAGTAATCGTCCAGGACCGACAGCGTGGCCAAGACTGACAGAGAGTTCAGATGGCGTCAGAGTTCACCTGTGTCCAGTCGGCTCGCTCCACTACAACATGTGTCCATCAGCAGGTCTTTAGGGCAGAACTGCTGACGTTTTCTACCACTTCCTCACACTGGTAGATCAGAAATGGGTTTGTTTGTTTGTTATGGAGTGTTTCAACAATGTGTGTCTGATGCCATGTCTGTAGAAATAAAGAATCAAAGGGTTTAAAAGATGTATACATATTCACCGTATGCCCTGTTCATCTAAGGTGACATTTCTCATTAGCTCTAGATGTTAATGTTTTAATTGTTCAACTGTTTGAGGTAGTTGAGTCGCCTGCAGAGTTGCATTCATGTGTCTTTTGTTGAGATAATTGTAGCCTGGGAGCTGTTGGTGTTGGTGTTAGAATATAACCTGGTATCATCGTTTGATGCTCGGCCAAATGCCTAAATGTGCTTTGTTATTTTTATTGGTCTTTTATTTGTGTTTATTAAACTGTAATTGCTACATATGCACAGGCTGTACATGTGTTCTTTGACGACATTACTGTTTTCCACTATCATTTTTAATTTATATTAATAAACAATTTAAAAAGTGTTCGTATGGACAGGTTTATATTTGCTCGTTCCATTTGATCTAAGATGGTAGAAATGATGTTTTTCAAGAAAAAGCATGTTTAATAGCATTTAGCTTAAAATATATATAAACAAAATCACTCTCTTAACACATCTTATTTACTTAACTTAAGTAAATCATGTTTAGTTCATTGTCTGTATTTATTGTCCTTTTTCCTTTTTGTTCTTTGATCGTTCCTGGTTTCGTGGTCCGTAGGATTCGGCTCGTCTCTTGAATCAGTTATCACCGTTATGATTGAATATATTCATCAACAGTCTGAGCCTCTGTCAGTTCCCCTTTTTCACGGTAAATGGCTGATTACGATGCTCTCCCACTGTTCCAGAGACCCTGGAGGTGTTGTTCTCCTCTACGGATCAGACTCACTCATTAAAAATGAAAGATGAAGATGCTTCATCACTTCCAGCTGTTTGCTATGATGACAGGAAGAAAGGCTAGTGTTAATGTGGGGTTCTAATTCATTTATCTTCTGTTTCCAACATGTTTTTAAAATAAAAGAGACCAAACCTGCAGCAGCTGTATGGACAGGTCTTGTTGTGTAAATCTGTTCCCTATAAATGGGAACAGCTAAGTTAGCAGTCATGCTGCATTGGCATTTCTCCGTGGGTAACTGTGCATGAGTTTAAAAACAAGTGACAGCAGAAAGCAACAGAGAGAGGAGATGAAGAAGAGAGGAAAAGAGCCTGGATAGGATAATAACAGAGATAAGACGGAGATCGACATCCATTTGATTGATTATTGATCTTGACTGTGGCCTATATATACAGTACATGATAGTAGTGACATCAGTCTATGAAATACTGTAAATACCAGATAGATACCATTATTTTTTTTGTCTTTTCACAACATACAATATTTACAATGGTAAAATAGAAAAAGGTTTATTTTTAATAAATATAAATATAAATATACATTTGTACCTGCAGATGTAACAACAAATTCTACATAGAAATCACCTACTTAACTGAACTTTTACATTACATTGTTACATTACAGACCATCTATTCAGTCGTTATCTTAATTTAATTACACTGGCTCTAACAAGGCTGTAATTAGTCACCAACAATTGTCCTTTAATCAGGACAGCTTGATCTTAAACGCTGCGAACCTTCTGATTAGGCTGTGATGTATGCTGAAATGATCCTTCTGGCTTCCACGTTGTCGTGTTTGAGATAACATCTAAGTCCAAGTCCAATCCCAGTGTAATGTATGCAGCCGGGCTCCAGGAGGACTGTCAGTGTTTCTGTTCTGTTGTGTTCCAGCCCAGCAGGACTGAAGCTGTTCCAACATAGATGGAGCCTGTTGGATTTGACTGAACGTGACATTTACTCAGTGATGTTAGTGCCGTCAGATTACCTCTGAGCTCATTGTCACATGTGTGTCCAACAACACATCGCACGTGCACACAGCCGGTGCTTCCTCTCCCTGTCTAATCACACATACATACTGTACATATGTTCCACACCATTGCACTACATATCTGGCTCATTAAGCAATGTGGGTTGTTTTTTTCTCACATTGTCACATTCAAGTGTACGTTTAGCCTGATTTTCTGTGACTGCTGGCATTGATTATGCAGCAATCACAGCAAAATTCAATGAGGAATTCAATAAATAGTTATGATCAGAGGAGCAATGTGTTGGCTTTCAAAGTTCTAAACAAAAATGGTTCTTTATTGAGCTAATACCTTGTGATATAGTCATTGTGACAGTTCAACTTTGAGTTCAACTTAAAGTTGATGAGAAAATTCAAGTTTACAGTATTTACAAAAAAGAAAATTGCCCTCTTGAAGAAATTATAAAAAATAAAAATGTGAGTATTTGGCACACCTGTGGTGGTGGACGTGGTGGTGGTGATGGTATGTGTAATGTTAGAGGAGGTGGCGTAAAAGGTGAGAGTGAGATCAGATGGTCTGATCTCGCTCTTTTTTCCACCATATTTTTATTAGTTTTTCTCCCAGCAGAAATCTGGTCAATATGATTTAAGTCTGCTATAAGCTCCCACGCAGCGCTGTCAAAATTGACATTCTCAAATAGAGGTTGACACTTGGCTCTGGAAAGCAGCATTCATTATTGTATTGTGAGATAAATGTGTTAAAGTTCAGGGCTTTAGAAGAAATAAACACACTTTGTGTGGATGGTAATTTTGTTTCTGTCTAGACTTTAATGCGTGAATCAACTACAGATATTCCGTATTCACGCTGATTGGACTGGAAACACTGTGAGATCTGTGTGACTACATTCACCTCCAACCAAAGACTGTGAAAATGGACTGTATAGTATGAGGAGACAGCCTGAAACTGTGAAGGAATTGAAAAAAATTGTCCTGAAACTGTGAAGGAATTGAAAAAAAAAGTCTCTTTGTGTTGATGATTTCATTTCATTTTCTGTGTATAAATGATTTACAGTAAACCCCCAAAGTAAAACAGAATTCCTGTTAAGTGCTGCCATGAGCTTCTGCAAGTGGGTAATACATTCACCAGAGCTGAGATGAAAGTGGAGTTGAGACAGGCAAAGAACAGAGATATCTGGAAATACGATGGAAGGCTTGGGGCTTAGTATGAAAAAGAATCGAAGAACGGTAACTCTGCGTTTGATCTTCGTGGACTTTTAAAGAATTTAAAGAATACAGACGACACAGAGGAAGCTGAGCTACAGACAGTCAGGGCTGAAGGTTAGTTCTTGTCAAAAGAACATAATGCATTCTGAAATTCTCCTAAGTAAAACGGGCTCAGCAAGTGATAGACAGACAGATAGATAGATGATGATTGAACTGATACAGTACATGGTCACTACTACACACAACAGACGTATATTTATATTTACATTTTTAAACTTGTTTTCATTGCTCATGATTCACCAGTATTCCTCAGCAGTATTCCAAGCATCACTACAGCTGTAGCGGAGGAAGTCGTTCATGTGTTATTGTTGTCTGTGTTGACTCCCTTGAGGGTTGACGTTTCCAGTGAAAACCTGTTTTAACTTTCGTCTTCAGACACAGTTGTGAACAGAAACAACAACAACAGCAGCTGTCGTCGTCGTCTGCTCAGGGTTTTGCGTGTCTGTCGACGTGTGTCTGCTGCTGGTACAGACCCCAACATCATACGTAAACGTGGAGTGTGAGAGCGCCGCAGACTCTCGGGAATGAAGAAAGCGTGGACCTACTGTGGACTGCCACCACCTATTGAGCCACACCTATTGAGGCTGCTTTTACCAACATGACGTTTTAATCCTATCTGTGAAGCTTGGCTCTCCCTTCTGTAATCTTTGTGTTTGTTCACTTCTCTTTCCTGTGTGCATGTTGTTAGAATCTACAGTCATTTGTGGCAAAGGTGGTTTACATAACTTATAATGTTTTCAGCGCCATAAACCCACATGTCATTGTTTACAGACATAAAGGGTAAAGTATTTTCTCAAAATTCCTTTTTACGGGGTTGAACAGAGTGATTTGTGAAAGTTGCACTTCTGGTTTTATTTTTTTCAAAATATAAGAAACATGCATACTCTACGTACATAATTTGGCTTCATCTTGGAAGTCAGTGCAGCTTAGAAGTCACATTTGTGTAGCCTGTGCTGTTAGTCCATGAAGTACTGTAGTATTAAAATAAAAACAGAAGTGAAATACTGTCATGACCAAATACCTGACATGCTGCATACAGTGTGACCCACTTGGACACTACAAAGTAGAGCAGTTATTTCTGAATGTAGAATTCTGCTTAAACGTGTCTCAAAAAAAGCGCCACTTTGCCCTTTAGCTGAAAAGCTCACACACTTTATTTATAGTTTTATGGTCTACGGTCTGTTGTGGCCCATTTAGAACTCGGCTACATGGGAATAAATCTGTGGTTTAAACAGCTTTTTTTATCTCCATGTGCGTCTGTCCTCGGCAGGTCCTAATAAAGACTAAGCAGTCAGTTTTTAGGATGAAAAAAAGCTTTTTAAATATGACAATTCAAGGAAATTGGAATCAGCAATCTGCAAGTCACATTTACCAAAACATTCATTTTGATATTTCTTCTTAATATTTCCCTCCAGTGTATCGCCTTCCATTGAACGGATTTGTGAACATCTGTGGCAAACTGTACCACGTAGAGTGATTAGACTTTCCTGAACCCTGGCTAATCTCTCTGTTCCTTCTCTCCTGTTTCAGCTTTGCTGAGAGCCTGACCATTCAGACCACATTTTGGCTCAGATCCTGTTGATGCTGGTTGCCAACCCCCAGCATTCTTCATCCCAACACCTGCACCGCCGTGCGAGTCAGAGCGGTGCCGTGGTGAACCCCCGGGCTGCCATGACGATAAAAGACCCAGACGGGAGTACGGCCAACGGTGTGAGACATGGTGGGTCACAGCAGGGAGGGGCTCCGAACGCTCGACCAGCGCGACCTCATCTGACCGGTAGGAAGTTGTCTCTGCAGGAAAGAGGCACTTACCTGTCACCAGGCTCAGGAGGAGGTTACAACCACATCTCCCCACGTGTGGCTCGCAAGCCCACGGTGGAGTCAAAGCGTGTGTCAATATCAGACTCTCAGGTAAGGGGAAAAAAAAGTCATCACATTTTAATAATCTTTCTTCTTTTTACAGATTCAATATTTTTATATTTTATCATTATTATGTATTATATTTTATTATCATTTTATATTTAATTATATATATTTTTACCATCATTAGTACTTAATGAAAAATAATATCTGCAAACAGCAGGGATCAGTTTTATTCAATAGAAACAACAAAGGATTATTATTGCACAAAACATACAAAGCTAATGCTACAACGCTAACCCAAAAATAGTTACATCGAGGGCATGATTGTATGAAGGTTGCTAGGAAGGATATGATATTAGGATAGGATTCAAATGCGCAATTTACCAAAAGTCCACTAGTCTAAGTCAACTTGTTACACCGTTTTACTTCCTGCTCTAAAATGCTTTACGGGTGGTTATACTGGAGTTGTCAGATTCCTGTTGCATTTCTGACATTATTTCCAACAGTGAAATGTAAACACACTGTATCTTCATGAAGGCAGACACGGCTGAGGAAACAACACAGTTGGCCGAAATGAATGTGAATGTGAGCTGCAGACCAACTTGTTACCCTCAGTGTGTGACCAGTGGTGACTGCATATATTTGAAATAGAAACAATGTCATTGAACATTTGAAAGACGACATTGAAGTCTGTTTGGGGTTTGTTGGTTATGGTCGAGACAGAGAGAGAGTGTGTGGTGTTTGTGTGTGTCTGAGACCTTGCCTCTCTGACTGAAGACTGTGTGTCAGCACCTCTGTTCATGAAATGCTAAAGACTGACGTGACGGTAACCCCGTCCCTGAGTCTGTTATGCCGTGAGATATTTGATTTAGCTCAGTGGAGCACTTTCACTCTAATTTATTTGCGCGTGCATATGGCAGACCTGATTACATTTTTCTGCATGGCCTTCATTATCCATGAGCTCGGCCAGAGTCTTAACTGCAGTGCAGCTCCCACTCATGTCCCGACCGCTGATGGAATCCTTCTAGAATAATCTCTCTTTGATGACTTTTCCTTGGATTCTCCTCGTTTGCCCTCACCCTGGCCTATTTATTTCTTCCACTCGTCGCCTTCCGACAAATCAATTTGATTATGCTTGGAGCCGCTCTGCTTGCTTCACTCCACACAACCCCGCACTGTAAATTCAATCCCTGGTCCTTAAGCACTACCCACACCACATGACGCCACCATTTCATTTCCCACAGGAGATAAGCCAGTCCCAGGCTGCATTTCCTGACGCAGTCAGCAGAGCCCACACACAGGAAGACGTACATGGCATGTCTCACTACTTTATTATTATCAAGCCAGTGCATTCACTCGATGCTGATCTGTTTGGTCACGTCTGTCATCGTTGACGGCTTCTTCCTGCCTCTGTATGGAGCCTCAGGCACTGGTCTCACCTTAACTCACCCCTCCTCCCCCAGCCTGACTGTAATGAGAGAGCCACTTTAAATGTGCCTTTTCCTTCATGCCATCGCCTTCACGCTCACACTTTAACCACTGCTGTACCATTGGCATTGTTCCGTACTAACTCTACCCTTTTATCTCCTTGTTGTTTAACCATTGTGAAATTCTCTCTGTGTCAAAATCCTCCTCCTGCTCCAGTCTCCTCTCCTCTGCAGTGGCCCTGGCCCATCCTGTGATGTAGCCTCGGTTGCTATGGAGCTGAAAATCAACCGTTTAAGCAGAAGCAATCTGATAAATTTGCAGACAGGAAACTGAAACTGCACTGTCACCAGCATATCAGAAATAAAAAACTTTCAATACACACACACACACACACGCTCACTGGTCATTTGTTACAGTGTTGATGATGTACAAGCTAGAACTTTGTTAATATTTGTAATTCCTATTGAATAATACTTCCCTCCTTTTCCACAGGACTGTATCCAGTTGAACCAGTATAAGCTGAAAAGTGAGATTGGAAAGGTGAGTTTGACCTTACAGGGATCTATGACAAGTGTAACAACTCTTTTTATTTGTGTTGATGATTGCAAAAGTCACGATATATTTATAATCCTATATACAAATCACTTACAAACACCCCCCATCCCCCCACCCCCCATCTCTGGTTTTAGCCTTATTTTGGAATGTTAACAATTTATACTTATTTATATGTTACATGTAAAGTATATCATTTTTAATTAGATAAAAAAATGGAAAAACCTCCTTTTCTATAAATTAAAAATGGTAAAATCCCAGTTTAATTTCAGAAATATTTTTCTGCACAATTTTGATGCACAAGATGCTTTTAGTCATACGTCTATCAACTGAAATGAATTTCCATGTTGCTGTTTGGCAGGGCTCCTACGGTGTGGTGAAACTGGCGTACAACGAGGACGATGACAAACACTACGTAAGCCAAATCATGCTGTTGTCTCTTCTCATTACCAGTGGAACTGCAGTGCTCTTCCTCCCACAGCCACTGCTCTCCTTTGCATCTTCAACCGTTCTCTGCTTTCACACACAGCAGCTTTACAGGATCTCAGCAGGGCTATTGATTTTTTTTTTCTTCTTCTTCTCCCTTCACCTCGCTGCTCAACTCTGACTCTGATCGAGCCCAACTTCATCAGTTGCTGCGTCAGGAATGAAAAAAAAAGAGGCAGACTTCTGTTGCTATTTAAGGTGCAGCCAAGACCTAATGTTTGTCAGAACAGTTTTGCTGCATTGAGGTCAGCTAATGAGGAGTACAGGCTGACATGACGTCAGTTTGATTTCTTCAAGATTCAGAAATAATTGGATTAAGGCTAAGACGTGACTTAGCTGCAATCAACGCTTCAGTGAGATGACAAGATGCTTGATTGTGTAAATTTGTGTGCAGTGTCTTTCTTGGAGGTGGATTTCCATTTTCCCTCTGTGTTTTTCTTATCTATCTGATGCTCGCGGTGCCCACTAGAGGAGACCGACGTTTGTTTTGCATGTACCAGTCACACTGACACACACTGCACACATCTGCAGCAGGCGACTTTATGGACATTATACAAATCTCATTTTCCAAAGAGCTGAGAGATGGTATTATGCACTGAGATAAAAAAAACAGACTTCCTATTACACTTGAACTCTTGTATGAAATAAAGGGACAACGAGGAGCGGCCAATATTATCAGATATCCCTAATTGTAATTTATCACAGTTAAACGTGATAAATTGAGTTTCCTAAATTTGACAGAAAATAACCTTTTTTTGTTTATTGCTCAAAAGAAAGGTAGAAAGGTATTTTGCAACATTTTGTTTTTATCACAAACACATTGTCAAGTGGGTGTTTTTATCAAGTAACTGAGGAATCTAAAAAAACGCTGCATGTTTGTGTTTGTGTTCCACTCACTCATTATTTTGTACATTTTCATCCACACCAGCTGACTGGCGCTCATTCACTGCCTCGGATTTTTTTTCACTTGCACAGAGACACAAATTCAAGTGTAAATAATTACCTGATGCTTTCAGCGGTATGTTTCTGCAGACTTAATTAATGTTTGCTTTTATTCTCTACCTGACTTCCAGGAGTGTGGGGATACACACACACACACACACACGCTCGTCATCTCCTCTTTTTATTGAGGAGCAAAAAGCTACAAGGTGTTCTGACAACAACAAATCAACTGTTAAAAGCAGAGGATAAAAGAGTTCTACTGTCTGCTGTGATGATGTAAAAACAAAGACCAAAGATCAATGTGTTCTCTTCCATTTTTATGAAGGTTTTCTCTGCGTTAGGATTTTCCTGATATCCTTTTTGTAAACATGTGGTGCGGACGGCAGAGGGCTGTTGTTTCAACCTGGACCAACATATTCAGGCCATTAGGGTTTTAACTTTTTTTTTTCATTAGTAACAGTGGCTGTCAGCTCATGGAGTATTATTGTAAAAAGTGGGTCAATCGGTGCTGAACCATTCTGTCCATGATTTAAAATGACAGTTTCAGGTATGTACTATTTTATATCACACATACTTTATGTATTATCTGTGTACAATCCCACAGATTCACTCTTTTTTATTTATTTTTTTACTAAACCAACAAGGAAATTCCACATGCATTTATTCAGTCATTCATATTTGAATACCTGAACAGAGAGTGACAGTGACAATGTCACTGCTGAGCTCACATATCCTGCACAGATACATGAGCTCAGCTGCCAAACGCCACGAGAATTCATAAATGTCATGAGGAGTCAACTTCACAGATCCTTGTTCTGCCAAACAGAATATTCTGAGAAAGAAACTACAAATGTAAATGTCTTTATTAACATATTGCTTCTTATTTATAGCAGTAAGAAGCAATATTAATGGCTCTGAAGTTTCTTCTTGGTAAATAAACCCTCCAGCCTGTGAGTGACTGCAGCCTTTATTCTATTCTCAGTTCCATTAGGCGTCGACTAAAGGTTTTTTTGATGTCAATTTATGTTTTTCTGCAGTGATGGCTGTAGTTTTCGTTGTTCAGTGAATGTGGTTTATTGAGGAACAGCTTTCTGTGCAACTCACCACACACTGGTTTGAAATGTCTTTCCTTTTTCATCCTCAGGCCATGAAGGTGGTTTCCAAGAAGAAGTTACTGAAGCAGTGTGGATTTCCACGTACGTTCTGTTCTCTCTTATTCTCAGTAAGTTACTGTAGCGACAGATGAACTGGACCAGTGACGAGACAACATGGTTTCGCTCTCTCCTCACTCAAACTTAAATGATGATGATTGAATGTTGATTTACATTTCAATAATTTAATGCAGTGATCATTAACTGGTGGCTCGGGGGCCGATTTTGCCGAGCAAAACTGTCCAATTCGACCCACGACTGAATTCCAAAATTGTTTAAGTTTAAGAGTAAATATTGTTAATGAATGAGACTTAAATAAGTGTCAGAAATCCCTACCATTTATGACTCTAAAACTCTTTCATTGTACTGGTTGTAGAATTACTTCAACGAGCCAAACAAAATGATTAAATGACACATCAGTCATGTCGCGATTCCAGCGAACCTAGTTACCTAGTACTAGACCAGGAAGCAAACAGCTGCAGTATGACCAATGCTTGTACAAACCTTAAAGTGGAAGTTCACATCTAATTGGTGGAGTTCTGTTCTAAATCTTGTTCAGTGAAGTTGTTTGTGCGTGTCTGCAGGACGCCCGCCTCCGAGGGGCCCTAAGGCAGCTCTGGGAGAGCAGCCAAAAATCTTAGGGCCTTTGGAGAGAGTGTACCAGGAGATTGCCATCCTGAAGAAACTGGACCATGTTAATATTGTGAAGCTGGTGGAGGTGAGAGGTTTTCTGCTCATCCTTAGTTACTGCCTTAATAAGAAGAGATTTTAAACAAAGGTTGAAGAGGGTTTAAAGCACATCGATGTCAGCTGGTCGGGGAATGTGTGCTGGATGATGAGAGAAGTCGTTTGTAGCTTTTAATGTAATCAAGTCTCATGGCTAATTACTGCTAATGACTGCTAAGCTAAGAACACTGTTCAAACTAAAGGCTCCTGACTACAGCATGCTGAACAAACAGTAATCATCCAGTGTGCAGTCGGCTGCCTGTCAGGATAAATGAATACACTGTTTATTTAATACTGTCCCAGACTTGAGATGGTTGTAGGGCTGTGGCTTGTTAGCATTAATTAAAACAACATCTAAAATATATATATATATATATATATAGATTAGGGATGTCTGATATGAACTTTTTATCCGATATGCTGATATTGTCCAAACACTTAATTTCTGATTCCGATATCAACCGATACCGATATAGACCTCATATATATATATATTTATTTATCTGTACAAACCACTGTAAGTGAGAATAAGTATGAGATTAAATAAATGAGCTGCTATGCTGCCATCTAGTGACTTTCACTTCGATATACACCCGTTTATCTCCAAAACTATAGTGCACAAGTCATTTGGAAACCCAGGCATTGTGTTATTGGGTTTTCATCATTGGAGGAAAAACTGGAAATCCTCACAGATATTACAAAATATGCTAATATAATCAGATGTTTATTCCCAAGTGTGGGGTGCTTCATGATTTTAACGCAGCTCTGTATCTGTGTCAAACCATTCCTGTATCTTAGCTCATGCGTTGTCATGTCAGCACCAACAGTTAAATAAACAGTGAGCTGCCAGGAAATAGGTAGGAAATATCAGATAGATGTTCTGACCTGCAAATCGATCGCCTTCTATTCTCTGCACTGCTGCAGTATTTATTTGTGTCGGAGAGCAGATACTGCACTGTAAACGGTTTCTTACTTTCACCGGAACGTTCTTTAACTGAGTTAGAATATTTCAGAGATGGACTGATGTCGGTTTTAGCAGAGGTGGCTGTTTATTAAATATGATGCCAAGGCAATTTCTGAGAATGACTCAAGAAGTCTGCAGCTCCCTTGTGATATCATCATCATCAGTGTTTTTCAGTCATGGACAGATGGCACAGGACGAAGGGGCTGTGGGGGTCAGGAAGTCTGTCGGTGTTTGTTTGAGTTTATTCGAGTTAAAGTCTGAGTAATTTTTTTGCCTGCTATAACAGAGAACACCAAACAGTTTTCACTTCTTGACTGTGACTCAGATAACAGCTTAATGTAGACGGTCGTATGGTTCATAGTTTTGAAGCCAAGTGTTTTTTGTAGCTTCCTTCTGCTAACTTCTATTACCAGGATGTTGTTTCAAGACGTGTGAAATGGATGGACAACATGTCCTGTGGCTTCAGGTGTGAGCTGATTGGTTGATATAAGCCTGTTGGAAACACCTGTGTCTGTCACCTGGAAATGGGAATAGTAGTTCACCCATGGTCAGAATATTAACATTAAATTTCATTCATTCTATTCTTCCAAAGTGTGGACCTCCATCGATTTATTAAACCCAATAAATGGGAATGGAATTTGTGTAAAAGTTTTAAGTCTCAGGGCACAGTTCCGAGCAGTGATGTAACTTCAGATTTTCAGATCAGAATTTAAAAAATAGTGTACGAAAATAATGTACTGAATCACCCCAACACTATGAGCTACAGTAACTGCCCAAAGTCAGGTGTACAGTATAGGCAGCCATGGATGTGGTCACTACAGTAAGGATGAAGAAAATCTGGGGATCAGTTTGAGGTTTGTTCTTATACAAACTTAGTTTCGTTGACTCTGTGTGATGGACAGTATAAACCAGCTCATGTCAGCCTACTTCCTGGTGGTGTCTGTCATTGAAAAGAATGAGAAGTACACACTCATCATGACATTACTTTGTGCACTGTGTTTGCACAGCTCGGTTCCTTGCAATGTCGCTAACAATAACAGTTGTTAAAATATGCTAATCTTCAAGTCAATAAAAAATTAACCTCCAGTTTACTCACATGGGCTCCTGTTTTGCTGGGCCTAGGACTGGGCTTAATGTGGTCTTAACAAGGCCATTGTTTCTGTTAGCCTGCGCACACGTACACACACGCACGCACACACATAAATTCTCCATTATATTTTCCCTTAAAAGAAAATTTGACATAACCGATGTCACCAGGTGATGCAGCCACGACCTTAAACCTGCTTAACTGTTACAGCAGCTGGAAATAGACGCCCGAAACCATGGTTACTGTCCACCAAATGGCAAAAGCATTGGCCTTCAACTGTAATCCATACTTGTAGAGTGTATCCTGTAAACAGAGCCAGATGGCCTCAGGATAAAAGGGGGCACAGCCATTGAGTTTCTCCCAGCAGCTGCACAGCAGGTTAATCCTGCAGCAGAAATATGAGCACAAACTTATTAAATAGAGTTTATGGATAATAACAGGCTTTTTTGTTGTTTTAGAGAAAGCAGTCGTGCTTCAGTTTGAGCTTATCAAGGACTCCCAGTAGGGAACGAGATGAGAACATGTAGTCCAACAGAGACCTGTTTGTCAAACCTGTCCTTGTTGTGTGCTGATACAGCCAGGCTTGTAAACAAGGAAGTGTCATGTGTTTTTACTGTGTCGTAATTTTACAGTCATTGACCAAAGGGGAAGTCTGTATGAGAGTCTTCTTGAAAATAACAAGGTTGGGGTTTTTTTCATGTTCATGTCTCTGTATGTAATTAATTATATAAATTATAACAGTGATCACACACTGGGGGAAATTCATGTGTTAACAGCAGATCGATATATATATGTATATATATGTGTGTGTATATATATATATACACACATATACGTATATACATATATATACTGTGTGTATACATAGTTACAGTAGAACAATGGAGCCAATGACGTCCTCCTACTCTGCTGTCTGATTGTATCTGTGAAATTTGCAAGTTACAAAAATGCAAATTCAAACTCCTGATGTTATGAAATTTCACACTCGTCTACCTGTAGGCAGAGCTTTGAAAAGAGTCTCTCCATTAACAATGACTATGATATCATTGCAGGTGCTGGATGATCCAACAGAGGACAACCTGCACATGGGTAGGCAGAACAGATTCCTCTGTCTGACATTTCCAAATTTGCCCCCCTGCAGCCTCTGACACTCCACATCGGTTAGCACATATGCTAACCGGGTGTTCATATAACTTATTCATAACTGAGATCATCTCTTTTTTTGCCTGTACGTCACCTCGAGGCGGTCACAGAAGCCTTCCAGTGCCAGTGCCAGGTCACACTCATGGCTCCAGTCATTGTGATATATTCAACTATTAATACGAGTACAATGTAAATGTAGCTCCATCTGATGGAGGCGAGGTGTAATGTGAAACTAATGAGTGGCTGCAGGGGTCAAACACAGTTGAATGAATGAATAAATAAACGCGTACTGATCTACAATATTCCATACTGTATTCCCATGACCTTCTCTCTACATTTCTCCTTGCAGTGTTTGAACTCATGCAGAAGGGGTGAGTACTGAAAACCTCCTCTCCTTTCCATTTCGCTTTCCTTTCCTTTTTCTTTTCCTTTCCTTTCCTTCCTTTCCTTCCTTTCCTTCCTTTCCTTCCTTTCCTTCCTTTCCCTCCCCTCCTCTGCCCCTCCATCCCCGCCTCAGTTTCATCATCGTTCTCCTTCATTACACCAAACCACCACACTGTGAATGTTTGTGCCGTCACGGGCTTCAAAGGACTAATAACGCGGCTAGGATTTCACAGTCATTACCTGTGGCAGTAGACATTCTACCTCCTCATGCATGAGCTGCTTCCCTGCTGTAAAATCAGTGACGGTTTTAATGATCTGAGACCTGTTGTTGCTGTGAGTTGGGGTCATAATTACACAGCATGAAGGAGATGTCGCTGTCATTTCACGTCGGCGCATAAATAAGTCGCTGTTGTTCTCGCACTATGTCGTCCACGTAACCAAACGTGGAGTCTGAACTCACGTTTGTTCTCTCAGGTCGGATTCCAATCGCGACACGTGACGTTGAATGACATTTTCCAGAAAATAAAAGTGTTTTGTTGTTTGTTCAATGAAGGCTGTCAGTGCAGTCCCTGCTGACTTCAACAGGTGGTGACTGATGACTGCAGTGTTGGATCACCTCGCCTGCTGTATCCATCTGCCTCCTGGTTTATTTGTTTCTCTGTTGTTCTTCTGTTTAATGCATAATTCAGTCTAATGGGGCTGTTGATGTCATTTAAAATGAACTTATTATCATTTAACCGCTAATGAGCAGCCAATCTGGGCTCCAGACCAGCGGGGGATGACTTTGACCATCAAAGGAAACGTAATTAAGAGAGAAATAGAATTATGTGCCACACTTAGAGATGTAACATCTCTACCGAGGGACTACCAATGACATCCTGCAGGGAAACATTAACGTCCACGCCTCCAGTACATTTGAATGTCAAACGTTACACTGACTCCTGCAGACAGAGTTTTTAACTTTTTTTATCACGACTTTACAGTTTTCTTATTTGGTCTCATTTCCAAAGTGATTCGATATATAACTAACTAGTAAATTACTGCTAGTATATCATCTCAGCTGCTATGACATCATATCCTGTCCTTTTCCCCTTGTTTCTTTAAATTACAACCTTCCTTATGTCCTCACTTACAGTATATGTGTGGATGTTTGTGCGTGTGTATAGAACCATTTCATAATTTATTATTATTTACTTATTTATTGTTATGTAATGTACTTTGAGCTGCTGCCTGTGTATGAAAAGTGCTATATAAATTATAGATAGATAGATGGATTGATTGGTTGATTGATTGATTATGGTGGATTATGTGTTTTTGCCTGACTCTGTGTCAATTTGTCTGAAGTCCAGTGATGGAAGTACCAACAGACAAGACTTTGTCAGAGGAGCAGTCCAGGTTGTACTTCAGAGACGTCATACTCGGCATCGAGTACTGTAAGTATTCATGGTATTTGAATCAGCATTACCACAGTTGTCAGTCTGCTTCCCTCTGTCTGTGACGCTCAAAGTATAAAAGCAGAAATCCTACGTGCTCTCACTACGTTTAGATTAAATTCTTTTTTGTGGGATTGAATTTTATTAGGGAACAAAGTCTGGGCGTTCTCTGTGGTTCTGTCTTATACCGTGTCCTGTCTAACTCATTATTGACCCCAGACCTGGTGAGAATCTTTCTGTCTGTTCTGGCTCCAGTTCACTGACCTTCATAACGAAGGATCGATGCTGCCTCTGTCACAGCTGTAATGTCCAGACTATCACAGATCGATGCTCATTTTCCCACGTAGTTATTTATTTTCCCACACTGCTCAGGAGTTCTCAGACACTTTTGAGACTTTTATTCTATATAATAATAACGAGGCCGTATTTGACAACGGGAACTTCATCTCAATATGCAGATACTCCTTTATTAGGCACAATATGGTTTTACAGTAACATAAAACATGGACCAAGACAGCACAGATGGTAACAGTCAGTTGTATTTCATTAACCTGTTCATGTTTAAACCAGATCTTTTTTTTTTTCTTTCTTTTTTTTCCCCCTCTCTTCTCCAGTGCACTACCAAAAGATCGTCCACCGGGACATCAAGCCCTCAAACTTGTTACTGGGTGATGACGGCCATGTGAAGATCGCAGACTTTGGAGTCAGCAACCAGTTTGAGGGAAATGATGCTCTGCTGTCCAGCACAGCAGGGACCCCGGCCTTCATGGCTCCAGAGACCCTGTCAGATCAACGCAAGAGCTTCAGTGGAAAAGTAGGTTTATTTCCAGGTTTATGCCTTCGTCTGTGGTCGAACCTGGTGTCTTTAGAACTACTGACTCACACAACAGTAAAACTATATTTGATTAAAACGTTGACAGCTCCAGTTGTTATTCTTCTGTGATATTTTGTTACAGTTTTGTTGTTAAATAAATAAACAGCATGAATCAAATATTAAAACCCAGGACACAAACAGTGCAGTTGTGCTTCAAACGTGTGAGTATTTGTAGGTATTTGAATCCTCGTAGCACCTACAGTCGGCTGTGTGGTCTCATTACAGGCTCTGGATGTCTGGGCGATGGGAGTAACTCTCTACTGCTTCGTCTTTGGGAAAGTAAGTTTGCACTTTTCTTTCCCTCGGGCACTTTTTACTGTCTGCTGCAGAAAAAACTAACAGCAAAGGCCTGTACAGTGTTCACTCTAAACACTGAAGCACCTGCAAGCACCACACAACAGGAAGTCCATCAATCACTGTGGTTATCATCCCACACTGCAGCCATCTTCTCTCACAGTTTGTTTTAATGAACACTAGAAGCTTCTGTTTTTTTTCTCTTGCTTGTCGTCAAGGATACAAGTTTTCTTCAGCACAATAGTAATTCAATGTTCCCTCCTTGTGTTCTTCTCCCTCCTGCCTCACCTGCAGTGCCCGTTTATTGACGAGTACATATTGGCTTTGCACAACAAGATAAGGACAAAGCCCGTGGAATACCCTGAAGCGTAAGTGCGTGCTCTGTGTCCTTGAAGAGAAGGCGCTAACGTTTCAGCCGCCATCGTCACATCTGTGTCACGCTTTAATCTGCATTCCCATTCATAAACCACAACGTGAACTACTATATTTAAACAGCTTAGCGCAGCAGTTGGAGCCGAGAGACGATAAATGTCACCTCACTGTAATCAAAACAAGCAAACACAGTGCTGCACCTCTCCTGGCGTTCCCTGGCCTCTGAGGATCTGTTATTGTTTAAAGAAAGTGGTATTGGCCGGCCGGGCCAATGAGCTGACAGACACACACTCAATTATAAATACTACACACATGAAGAGGCTTAAAGTGGCTGCTGGAGTGGGTGTCACTAAAGGGTGTCATAGCTTTAACGACTGTGAAGTGTCGTCTGCCAACAGGCTCAAGTACAGAACACTACCACCCTGAATATCAGCCTCCTCATTTAAAACAAAGATCCAAGGAAATCACCGTCACACTCCACCTGTCTGGGACACTTAGCGACCCCTTGTTGTCTCACGGGGCCACTGCACCGCAAGGAAAGCTGTGATTACAATCGTTAACACATACACATACACACATTTTTTTTTATTTTTATTTATCACACAAGAGGGCCATAGAGGCTTTTACCTATGGTAATCTTGTTTTTTTTTTTGTTTTTGTTTTTTTTACAGACCGCAGGTTAGTGAAGAGCTGCGAACTCTGATCTTGCGAATGCTCGACAAGAACCCCGACACCAGGATCACCCTCCCTGAGATCAAGGTACTGCAGGGAACAACGCAGGGTGAAATGGCACCGTCAGTTAGTGGTCTGTTGTCCTGGATGATTGACTGCAGTAATTGGCTGTTGAGACTTTGACTTTGCTGTGATAACACTGCAGGGAATCGTTAGCTATGCTGCATCTTTCCAGGGCATGATGGGACCTGTTTGACCCTACGGAGAATAGAACCCGAGTCAAAATCAACGCTTGACATTTGACTTGGTGCTCGTTTCCATGACACGGTCTCATCGTGTGTCTCCGAGTTGTTTTCTCACCAGAGACCGTGTTTGTATTTATGCAACAAGAGACAATTGGGTTGTCAGGCATCACCAATGTGGCCATGCAAACACACACACACACACACATTTATAAATGATGTATGAACATCATTTATAAATGTGTGTGTGATAATGTATCATTATCACATTTTCAATAACACCTAACATATTATATTTCATTATATATTTATGTAGTATTTACCATTGCTGAAAGACTAGTCATAGAATATTAGTCATGTGTAGTCATTAGTCAGAAAATATTTTGTTTTATACTGCTAAACAGTCAAGGTCATGATAAAAAAAAAATTCAACTAATTATTATTCTTTTTAAAATTATGATTTAAAAACTATCCACACAGTGTAAATATAGTATAAATATTTTAAAAAGTGTACCCTATATAAATAAATAAATATATATATATCAGAAATACTCTGGTGTAGTACTGGGTCGTCTGAGGTCTGGTTAAACTGGAGGCGTCTTTGACTGATTTTGAGGCGGCTGCCATGCTGTTGTAATGATTTAAAATGTCACTTCACAGCTGCGTTCAACAGTTGAAAGGCTTGAGGGTTTTTTTTTTATCCTGTCAGTTAGCGCCACCTGTGGTTTGCTGACATAATATGTATAATAAGTATATTGTAGCAAATATGTATTTATTTATGTATTTATTTTTAGTGTTGGTGAGAAGGAGGATTAGGTGGAAATGTAGTAGACAGGATGAGGATGAAGTATTTTTTAACATGTATTAGTACACTAATGAGCTGGTATTGCATATATATCGGATTTGTTTTTACCATATTCTCATGGTGAGATTGGTGGCATTCTGTTTGTTTTGTTTTTTGTTGGTTTTTGTTGTGGGGGTGGGAGAGGGGAGGTTACAGGGACAGCACTGGACCTCAGCTCATTACAGTTTGAGACTTCTCACCTAAAATGCTAAAATGTATTTGTTTATTGTACCATGGTCACGTGTGTGTGTGTGTGTGTTCAGATGGACCAGTGGGTGACTAAAGGAGGAGAAGACCCTCTCCCTCTGGAGGAGGAGCACTGTACTGTGGTGGAGGTGACAGAAGAGGACATTCAGAACTCAGTCAAATTTGTCCCCAGTCTCTCTGCAGTGGTAAGAAGACATTTATCCACAAAATATACTGTGAGAGACGGGTTCTGTTTGTTGCACTTCCAGATAAATAATATGGCCATTCTCTGTCAACTGAAGTTTAACATAGAAAATATTAACTTTGTGTCGATATTGTCCAAATACTTAATTCAACCGATATGTCTGACATGAGATTAATTAAATAAGCTGCAATGCTGCCATCTAGTGACCTTCACTTCAATATACAGTGGTTTATCCCCAACACTATTTTTAGGGCACATATCTTTTAGCGAAACCCAATCATTGCGTTATCAGGTTTTCATTATCAGAGGAAAACCCAATAATGGTCTGGTGAATATGTTTTCTGCTCATTCTGTGTCTGGTTATATTCTAGATTTTGGTCAAAGCCATGCTGAGGAAGCGCTCCTTCAGTAACCCATTTGAATGTCCAAGCAGGAGAGAGGAGCGCTCCATGTCAGCACCGGGCAGCCTGCTGATGTAAGTGCCAGCCCTGTTGTCACCCTGACGTGCAGAATTTGTAGAGTTTCTATTATTATTTTATTTTAGGACAAAACTGAAAAACTGTAAACACCCACACAGAGCAGCTTTCATGGTTTGCTACTTCACACCTGTCTCCTCTTCTGCTGTGTCAAGAGTAAAGCAGCACCACAGACTGCAGCTGCTATTTGTTGCCATAGCACCATAATTCATTCTTTCATTGTATGCAGCGGAGCTTACAGATTTTCTAAGTGTTTCTTTGTGTGTTTCACTGAGCAGCTTTGAATGGTTGAGGGATCCAGGCTGACGGGGAATAATCCAGATCCATGAGAACCTCACACTGACCTTGGAGTCTGTGTTGGATTGAACGTATCCACCATATCCTTACATGTAGTTTCAACAGTGACAGTCAAGGGCGGATGGGGGCATCTGTAGCTGCTGTTGTTTCACTGCAGCAGGGCCAATAATCCATGGTTAGCATCCATGGAAATTATTTTCAGTTAAGTCCAATGTGAAGCCGACTTCTTATCTTTTACTGTTTTAGGATTTCTTTTGTTCCAGTTGATTTCATCCCTGTGTCTGTCACATCCCCACTGTTCCATGTCAGCCAGTCACAGCTGATTGAATGAGATGCCTAGTATAGTAAAAGGGTTGTCGGTGCAAGATAAAGCAATACTGCCCTCTGCTGAACATTTTACTGAATAAAACAATTTCGTGGTCAAACCAAGACAAGGAGTAACTGATCTAAGAAACAAGTCCATTAAGCGTCCATACAAAGCTGTATAACAAAGTGCAATTGAAGAATGAACAAAGGTCATTCCCTTCCCAGGTGGCAAAGGTCACTTGTGTATCACCACTCACTTAAACTAAACAGTTTAGAATATGTAGATTTTCTTTCCCCCTGGACAATGTAAATATAAACCGTTGACAATCAAAGTGTTAAAAACTCCTGACATAGATTTGAACATTTTTAGGTTTCGGTTTCATCTTTGCAGTTGACCTTTACCCTCTGACCTTTGACTTTCCTGTCTTCTCTCTCTCTCACTGCTGCAGGGACTCCTGGCCACTCCGACCCTCTTTAAAACTTCACCCTTCTCTCAGGTAAC